GAGTTTCCTAATTGCATTTCTAAGACACCTCTCCCATTCTAGGCTCACATACCTGCCCTTTGCACACATATAATTATTTAATTAGTCTTATCACATTAGTTAAATTCAATCTATTATTCAATCTATTATTCTACTGTGAAACTTAAGAGTGTTGTTCTTGTGCTAAATATTCCCAGCTTCCCTTCCCTTTTAAGTTGATCAGGATGTTAGCTAGTGCTCCTCTAACTCCAAAAAGGACAGGGAAAGGTGAGGAGGTACTCATTTAGCCAGCAAACCTGTGGAGAGCTCATGGTAAGCTGGGCACTGCACTGGGTCCTAAGGATGCAACGGAAAGCACAAACAAGCCCTCTGATTTTGTTATTAGAAATTGTACTTTGGTATTTACCCCAAAGGACAACAACATGGTTCTATGACAGCAAGCAGGAAAAAAAAAGTGACATGGAAGAAAGTGACACTGCAGTTAAAGTAGAGTTTGCTAAGAGGTGGGCACTGGGTACTAACAATCTCACTTCAGATTATTAGTCGGCAGACTGCTGCACCTCACTGCTATACAGACTCCAGGTCTGTGTCTTGCCTTGAGTTATTCAGAACGATGTGACTGACTGCCCTGTGGGTCTTGCAGAATCCACTCTCACAACACTCCCCATGACAAGTGAGTTTTCCAAGTCAACAAGTGTGTTTCCAAATCCTCATCTCTAAAGCTTCTTCATATTTAGGATATAGTTCACCACCACCGGAAGACTTAATTTCAGCAGTTAGAGGGAAAGGCCAGCTGAGCGAGGACCACCCTACCTTGGGTGGACTCACTTCCTGGCCACCACTACAAGCCATGAATGAAAAGCTGGTGGGGCTGTGGAGCCGACAAGTCAATCAGCTCCCTGACAGAGTCCAATGCAGTGGCTTCCGTGACACCCACAAACACAGTTCTGAGGCCCCAGGAATACCCTTACACCTCCCCACCGCCACCTTGGGTAGTCCTCCTGGAGCTGTCTGGGAAAGACAAAGCCGGCTCTTGGGCTTAGAGACCTGGATTTCAATCAAGTTCGACTACTTGCTCTCCAGATGATCTTGCGCAGGCCACTCAGTCTTTCCAGGCCCTGATTTCTCCATTGGTGACATATGGATAAAGATACATTCTTAGAGATGTTGCAACTCAACAGGACAGTCAGAAGCATGCTGGAGGGAAGGCTGTCACTCTTTGGAATACGGATTGAGGCCAACACCGATAAGGCATTGCCATGTGCTGTGCTGCACACCAGGTGACTGTCGGGATGAATGAAACACAGTCCAGCCCATTCGGGTTTTTTTGTTTTGTTTTGTTGCTGTTGTTCCTGTACTTGTCTCTTCATGAATAAGGTCTGAATTATTCCTTGAGGTTTTCTAACCCTGTACTATCTTCTGTTAACAGTCACAAAAGTGAGGTAGACTGGGTCGAAATCTCCTCTACCATGACACTTATGCCAAACTGCTGGACCTCCAGCACAGCCTCACACGGTGGCTCCTCCAGCCAGATCTCTCACCAACCCTTGCCCTGCCTCAAGAGCATGGCCTGTAATGTAAGAGCACCAAGGGCCAACCGCTGGCCTGCTGCTGATGAGCTAGACCGTTCTAGCACTTTAGCTCTTAGAACTATCCAGGAAATGAGGCAGCAACAGTGAGAACTTCATGAGTGCCCCGGCAGTGCTAACTGTTCCCCCAGTCATCCTGCATCCATACTGGACGCTCCCTCTCACTTTAGGAGCTTCGCCTGCCCCTGGAATGCTTGGGCCTCTCATGGCCAGCACCAGTGCATCTGTCAGGCCTCAACTTACACAGCACTCCTCTGAGGTGCCTTTTCAATCCACTCTCTTCAACCTCTTAACAATGTAGGTTAAATCTCTATTAAACACCCTCATCAATGCGTTTGCAACATTTCTTATCATAATTCCATGTTTGTTCACTCCATAAAGATAGGGAGGGCATCTTACATGATTCTGTAACCACCCTGATACCTAGCACAGGTCTGAGTCGACAAGCATTCATGAAATATTTTTGGCGTCTCATGAATGATTTCCTAAATCTGACTCTGCCCAACCTTCTCTTGGATTTAACAACTCCTAAAAGTTGGTTCCTTTACTCCCAGGGTCAGAACTCTTTACTATCTTCACCTTCTGAGATAAAATGGTCAGAAAAGCTGACCAAGAGCTGAGCTAGTGCTTCACTTTGGGATGAATGAGCCTTAGGAGAGAGAGGAGGGCAGGGGGAGACAAGACAGACTGTGATTGGTTAGTTTGTTTTGTTTTGCCATATCTGCACTGTTCAGCCTAGGTGCCCTAGGGGTACTGAGTACCAGGAACTCTGCTACCTATACCGAGGCGTGCTGTGAGTGTAAGGTACACACTGAATGTTTACAACTTGGTATATATATATATATATATATATACCCCCAACAAACAAACAGGATAAACAGCTCAAGTTTAAGGGGCTAGTGCAATGGCTCAACTTTGGCTAATTCAGTCTACAAGCACCAGCATCCAATATGGGCACCTGCTTGTATCCTAGCTGCTCCACTTCCCATCCAGCTCCCTCTGCTCATGGCCTGGGAAAGCAACAGAGGATGGTCCAAAGCCTTGGCATCACACACCCAGGTGAGAGAACTGGGAAGAAGCTCCTAGCTTTGGATCGGCTCAGCTCTGGCTGTTTAACCATTTGAGGAGTGAACCATCAGATGGAAGATCTTTCTCTCTGTTTCTCTTTGTAAATCTGCCTTTCTGATAAAAATAAATTTTTAAAAAGTTCAACTTCAAAACATTTATTACACATTAAAACAATGCTATTTTGAAAGTAGTAGGCTAAATAAAACACATTACTGACTATAAACATACATACACACACATATAATACCTGTGCCACTGGCATCCCATATAGGCACCAGTTCAAGTTGCAGCTGCTTCACTTCTTTTTTTTTTTAAGATTTATTTATTTTTATTTTTATTGGAAAGGCAGTTTCACAGAGAAGGACAGAAATTTTCCATCTGCTGGTTCACTCCCTAAGTGGCTGCAATGGCTGAAGCTGAGTCAATCCAAAGCCAGGAGCTTCGTCCAGGTCTCAAACGCGGGTGCAGGGTACCAAGGCTTTGGGCCGTCCTCAACTGTTTTCCCAGGTCATAAGCAGGGAGCTGGAGGGGAAGCAGAGAAGCTGGCACACAAACCGGTGCCCACATGGGATCCCAGCACTTGCAAGGTGGGGATTTCACCACTGAGCCATTGTTCTGTGCCTCATTTCATTTCTGCTCCAGCTCCCTGCAAACAGTGTGGGAACGCAGCAGAGGATAGCCCGAGTCCTTGGACCCTCTACCCACTTGGGAGATCTGGCAGAAACTCATGCCTCCTGGCTTCACATCAGCTCAGCTCTGGCCATTGTGGCCATTTGGGGATTGAACTAGTGGATGGAAGATCTTTCGCTGTCTGTCTCTTTTTCTGTTGCTATAACCCTGCCTTTCAAATTAAAACAAATTTTAAATAAATAAAATGTACTATTATAATTATTGTACCTTTTTAAAAACTCATTACAGCTATTAGAAAATTTTAAACCACACATGAGAATATTGCTTTAGACTCTGCACCATTCCTGCTCGCTCTTTCAGCCATAATGAAACACGTCCATCTGCTGCGTGATTTCCCTCAGTACGGTGACGTTCTAGTGCACGGCCTGTTCCCCGCCTCTGGGAAGTTCTGATCCCTTTTGCATAAAAATTTAAAAAGAGCATAGTTTTCCACAAGCAACCAGGTTTTTTGTTGAATCTCCTCACATCAAATCCTAATACACAGAGGGCTATCCTGCGACGGTTTGATGATTTACAGTCGTGAAGAACATGGAGCCTGACCACCGTTCTGGGGTCCTCGCTCTGCCTGACTGTAAAATGGGGTTACTAACAGTGTTGACTTCACAGGGTGGAGGTGGTTAACTGCCATGGGTAAACTCTTCAGAAGGCAATGGCTCTGTGCCAGCTCACATTCCTCACCAGCCCCTCCTGTTACTACATTCACCTGCAGTCCTGGGATGCTACCCTCCGATCGTCCACTTTTAAAACACGGCTACTCCCCAGGCACAAGGCACCTAAACTTTTTTGAAAATGAGAAGGGATACTGTGGGTCTGGTGCAATGGCTCAACTGGCTAATCCTCCACCTCCAAACACCGGGATCCCATACCGGTGCCAGTTTGTGTCTCAGCTGCTCCACCTCCCATCCAGCTCCCTGCTTGTGGCCTGGGAAAGCAGTTGAGGACGGCCCAAAGCTTTGGGACCCTGCACCTGTGTGGGAGACCCTGAGGGTCAGCTCAGCTCCGGTTGATGAGCCATTTGGGGAATGAACCAGCAGATGGAAGATCTTTCTTTGCTCTCTCTCTCTCTCTCTCTGTGTAAATCTGCCTTTCCAACAAAAATAGTTTTTAAAAATGGATATTGTGCAGAGTGAGGGATACTAGGTATGTGAAGCTGTCTGCATGGTTCTTGGCATGGAACAGATCACCTTCTCTCGCAACACACTGAGGCAGGGTTTTGTAAAGGAAGACACAGGATTAGAAAGTTAAGACTTGCCCGAAGCTGCAGAGAGAGCTAAATAGCAGCGCTAAAATCCGAACTAGGTCCTACTTCCAGAAATCAGAGCAGCTTTCCTAGCAGCATGAGTGCCAGCATTCAGCTAATGAATGCTCTTGTCTACTGCTTTCCCGGGTCTGAACACACGCACCGCCTACTACCGTTCAGCCCTCTGCAACTGCAACCGAACCAAAACAAGGGTCTCAGGGACACTGTCAGTAGAGTGGGCAAAGCGGGGAGAACTCTAGTAACGCAAAAACGAAAGGAAGCGAAGCATTTCTGCTCTGGTCTGCTAAGGAAAGCTGGGATCTTGGGGAGGAAGTTCCACTGTGCGGTCTTCAGGGCTGCACGGCCCGGCTGTCCGCTGCCCGCCCCGCACCCTCGGGTCTCGGGGCCCAGCGCTGAGCCCGCCCGCCCCTCACCTCCGGCTCCGGGCGCTCCGAGGCCATCACACAAGCCCGGCCGCGCCGGCCCGGGCCCGCGAGGCCGATCCGCTCCGGACCCCTGACCTGGCAGCCTCAGTGCGGGGCAGAAACCGGAAGCCAGTGGGAGGGCCCAGTTCCTTTTCCTTGATTGGTGAACAAAGCCCTCCCTGCCTGGGAAGCCGGAAGAGGAAGTGTTTGTTGCTGCCTCGGCTGTCGCAATGCAGGTGAGGAGCGGGTTGGGGTGGCGGTGGCGGCATGAGCTGCTGGTCACGCAGTGAGAGGGGGCTGGTTGCGGAGCGTGGGGATTGCGGCGGGGAAGACGGAGCAGAAGACGCAGGCCGGGCAGGCCTGGCGGAGAGGCAGCGGCCCCGGGGGCCCCGAGGGGGTGGAGCCCGCTGACCTGGCCGAGTCCGGCGGGGGCGGTCGCCGGCCCCCAGATTGTTGTGGGAAAGGATCAGGATGTGATTTCGAAAGCCGGGATGCCGTGGAGGCGGCCCAGGAAAGTGATGGATTGAGTCGGATCCTGGAGAAAAGGAATTGCAGGCCGCAGCGGCCGAAAGCTAGGCTGCCGGCGGAGACTTTGGATGAGGCCCCCGTCAGATGCATGGGGTGTGCGTGACTGCCCAGGCTCTGTACCCAGTAGCGGTTAAGGCTGAAGAAGTGCAGTACAGCGGGAGACCCCAGACGGGACAGAAATGCCTTGCAGACCACTGACATTTAACATTGTGGGTCCGTTGACTTGGAGGGGGGCGTGGGGGGCGGGGCGGGGGCGGGCTTGATTTTGTTTTTCATTTGTCACTTAGTCACTTGTAAGTCTTTTTTACCAGTCCTCTGAGCTTGAGACAGAGGCACAGGGATGGGGGGGGGGGGGGCGCAGAAACCAACTAGTGCAAATTAATTCAGCAAGGAGAAAGTGGAGCTATCTAACTGCTAAAGGTGGGGAGGAGGGCTGAGGGCCAGGGCAGGGCCATTATTCAGAGAAAGTTCCAAGTGTAGGCAGACCTCTCAGAGACGGTGCTGTTGACTTGAAGAGCCAAGCTCCTGCAGCAGATTGTGGGACCAAGGAGGCGGGAGGGCACGTTTGAGAGGGTGCACCCGGGCGGTCCTTCTGGGAGGAGTTTCTAAACCAGAACAGAAGTGGGTGTGTACTTTGCTGCAGTGGGAAAACACATGTGGTCAGGTGGAAGAGCTGAGGGCTGATGCTGTCTATAACCCAAATACCAAAGATAGCAAATAAACCTGGCTGCTTGGAGGTCAGTAAGACTTGGCATTACCCAACTGAGGTTGCATACTCTCTCTGTGGGCTTTCTGGCCTCCTTCTGAAGGGATCACGCTCCTGTGTCTGTCTCAGTAACCAGCCCCTTCTCTCTGGCTGCAGAGGGAGGAGAAGCAGCTGGAGGCATCCTTGGATGCCCTGCTGAGTCAAGTGGCTGATCTGAAGAACTCCCTGGGAGGTTTCATCTATAAGCTGGAGAACGAGTATGACAGGCTCACCTGGTAGGAGTCGCCTGGGTGAGCTGGGGAGGGCGTAGAGGGTGGGGAGGGGACCAGGCCTCCCGGCCAATGGGACCTCTCCAGTGATGTAACCATGTCTCAGTTTGCAAGTGTCTTCTGATTTGGAAAGAGCTTGGTTTCCCAACAGGTAACAAGTGGAGTTTGGCTGAGCAGCAAGGAAGCAAGGACTGGCCCCATTTCCCAACCCTGAGTTCTTTCTAGCTTTTGAGTCTTACACTTGGCTTTCCCTTGAGCAGCCCTTCTCCCAATGGTTCTTCCCATCACACTGCTATTTGTGCTGGATCTCTGGCCACCAAGGTGGCTGTGTTTTAGACCTAACTTACTTCTGAAGTATAACTCCTATAGTATGAATCCAACATCTGAATTGTCCTGACAGAATAGCCCATGTTTCCCGTCTACCCCATGTTTTTCACCCCATTCCAGCCCTGGTCTGCCTTTTGTCTGCCTCTACCAGGGACCAAAAACCTGCATCTCTTTCCTAACACTGTCATCCCTGCTGGCCAGGCTGGTTTCTGATAGGCTGGAGTCTTTTGGGGTCGGTGAGGTTCAGTCTGGAAGGCTTGTTAAAGGTGATTTTCCTGGGAAGCACTCCACAGAAGGGGTAGGACATTCTGATGCCTTATTAACCACCACCAGGCCCTCCGTCCTGGACAGTTTTGCCTTGCTCTCGGGACAGTTGAACACTCTGAACAAGGTCTTGAAGCATGAAAAGACTCCACTGCTCCGCAACCAAGTCATCATCCCTCTGGTGCTGTCCCCCGACCGAGATGAGGATCTCATGGTGAGGAGGGGAAAAGAGGAAACTTGGGAAATGAACTGCTCAGGTGAAAGCTTAGGTCGCAGTTTTTGATTGGCGACTCCACAGGTTCTGAATGTGGGGTGATCTGTGGCAGTGAGAAGCAGGGGCTTTGTTTGGGAAGCCTCACTTACTGTCCTTCTTAGAATAAGGAAGCCACTGCCAGGTGGTGCTGTAATACTCTAAAGTCCATGTGCCCAAGGCAAAGACCTTTTTCCTCTAACCTCTGTCTTTTTTTATCTTAAAATGTGACAGAGTCAAACTGATTGCTAGGCTGGTAGCTATCGGGATGTGAGAATATGGGAATGAAAGGTGGAGTGGAGGGCATGGGGTCCTGGGCAGCTAGATAATGTATCTCAGGTTGAATTTCTCTCACATGTGAACTGTGTGCCTGTGGAAGGAAAGTCAGGCCAGGGTGAATCTTCTTGGAGCACGTAGCAGGATTGATACCATCTGCATTACAGAGGCAGACTGAAGGACGGGTGCCCGTCTTCAGCCATGAAGTGGTCCCTGACCATCTAAGGACCAAGCCTGACCCCGAGGTGGAAGAGCAGGAGAAGCAGCTGACGACAGACGCAGCCCGCATCGGTGCCGACGCAGCTCAGGTTAGACACGGTCCCTGTCCCAGTGCCCCTGGTCCCCATCCCGTCAGGAAGAGCCAGGCCTAACCATTGCTGTCAGATGGGCACACAGTGGGCTGCCCCTAAGTTGCCTTTGGAAGAGCACAAGGAAGAAACTTCTCCATGTCCTTTGCTTACTTGCCCCAGGCGGCACCAATGTGTGCATGTGTGTGTGTTACAGAAGCAGATCCAGAGCTTGAATAAAATGTGCTCAAATCTTCTGGAGAAAATCAGCAAAGAAGAGCGAGAATCAGAGAGTGGAGGTAAGGAAGGATTGGGGCCCACATGGAGGGAGGGGTTGTCAGGTTGCTGGGCCAGAAATGGTGGATTGGGGAGAATCAGAGAGTGGAGGTGAGAAAGGATTGGCCACACGGAGGGAGGGGGTGTCAGGTTGCTGGGCCAGGAATGGTGGATTGAGGACACAGAGATGATTTGCACAGAAAAGGGCTTGTATCCATCTTTGGGCCATTTCCATCTAAGCTAGCCTTGGCGCCATTGGTGGAAGTGGGTAGAGGGAGAAGCGAGGACTCCGATGCAGGCCTCGGGGTCCCTGCCTCTCCTTCGGGCTGTGGAAGAGCTGAGGTGCCGCCTAAATCAGAATTCCAACTTTGACGCACATCACCCATCCTCCAGCTGCCAGGTTCAGTCTGGGGCCAGATCGTATTTAAGGGTCCCCACTTCTTTTCCAGGTCTTCGACCAAACAAGCAGACGTTTAACCCTGCAGACACTAATGCCCTGGTGGCAGCTGTTGCCTTTGGAAAGGGTCTTTCTAATTGGAGACCATCAGGCAGCAGTGGCCCCGGGCAGCCAGGCCAGCCAGGAGCTGGCACCATCCTTGCAGCCTCAGGACTACAGCAGGTGCAGATGGCGGGAGCCCCGGGCCAGCAGCAGCCGATGCTCAGTGGGGTGCAGGTGGCTCAAACAGGTCAACCAGGTAAGGTGCTAGGAGTTGGGATGTGGCGCTCTGTAAGCAGGGGAGAGGGGACCATCTGGGCTCTCAGCATCCCTGGCCCTGGAGATTCCTTCCTTGAGCCCGAGACTTGGAAAACAGTTTTCAGACAGAAGAGATCTCCTCTGGAGTACTTGAGCAGGAGGCGGTGCTGAGATGTGTCCTCACCCTTCCCAGTTTTGTTATCCCTTAGTAACTCTTTCCTCCCAGACACCCTTAGGGAGGGAGCTGGGCAAAGAACCACAGCTCTCACAGCTGCCAACCAGTGGCAGGTGCCACAAAGGTTCTGAGATGATAAAGGAGGTAGCAGGAGGGAACCTGAGACACCACATTTCTGATTGGTTGTGAAAGTCTGCCCTTGCTTCAGAGGTGTCTTCGTGTTCCTTTTAGGGAAAATGCCAAGTGGAATAAAAACCAACATCAAGTCAGCTTCCATACATACCTTCCAGCGGTGAGTGTGGCCAGCAACCTCCACTCGCAGGTGCTCTTGGCAGAGTTGGGCAGTGAAATGACCTTTGGCTCAAGGCTCATCCAAGTGGGTACAGTGAAAGCGAGTGTGGGCTTCTAGCAGTAGACAGATCCCAGTGTCACTGCTGACCAAGTACGTGGACCTTGGGCAAGTGGCCTAATTTTTCTGAACCCATGTTATGATTTGTAAGTGGTAATAATACCTACTTCATAGGGCTGTTGTGAGGATCAAAACAAGAAGATGAATGTAAGACTGAACAGTGTATGAAACAATAGGTGTTCAATAAATAACTTTCTACAGTTACTCTTGTACACTGCCCTCCACAAGCTTTGATCCAGAAATTACTGTGACCTCACACTGCTTCTAGTCAATGGCGCACTGATGGACACAAGGTGAAAGGAACCTGTGCTTGTTCGGTGTTGCCCAAGCTGACAGCAGCTTCATGTCCTTGGAGTCCTGCTGTCTGTGCGGCTCCCCATGCCCAGGTGCCATCTAAGCAGCAGGTGAAGGGGCTTCCACCCCGGGCCAGACTGTCCACCTGCACCCTGGGGAAGCGGAGGCGAGTGGAGCCTCCACCTGGGAGATGGGTCAGAGGCCTATCTCTCTCACCCCACCCTGTGCACCTGAAGGAAAGTGTGCAGGCTTTCTCACAACATGACTCTGCCCAGCCACACCACGTGAACGTTTCCCTTAGCACTTGAACTAGGACCCTTTCCCTCTGGACTCATCGTCTGTCTCGTCGAGGAGGGAGAGAGTTATACTTCACCCTCGTTAGGGTTGAAGTCACCTTCATAGTAGTTGTGATTTCTGTACTTGGCTCCATCCTGCTAAGCCTGTGGTTCAGATAAGAGCCAGATTGACGTGGGAGTGGGCAGCCTTCAGTCACCATGTCTGCTTTTATAAAGGTGAAGAGCAATGAGTTTGACATCCAGCATCAGCTAGCCTTTCTGGTGCTCCTTCGTGGACAAGGGCAGAGGTTGAATCAGCAAATGTGGACCAAAGGATTTAAAAGTGATGTAAACTGATGTTTGCTAGCTCTGAGTGGTCTGACAGCAACTTGGAGAGCGCCCTGTGGGGACCAGCAGCAGTTTCCAGAGTGCTACAGAACAATACTAATGTGTTCTTCATGACAAGCTTTCTTTAATTAACTTTGATCTAAAAAGTCTGATATTCCCCCCCAGTTCGTGTCTTCAGCTGTCTGGAAGCACCTGTTTTCTCCATATCCTGGTCCCATGGCATGTGTTCAGAGTCAGACAAAATGCTGCCAGGCTGTGGTAGCAAAGGACTACGGAAGTGGTCCCAGATGTCACATCTGGCCTGTGCATGAAGACGAGGGTTGTCATATGCACAGCTCGCTGGCTGCAGCACACATCGCTGTCAGTGGCTCTGAGGCAATGCTGGACCTTTTCCCCACTTGAGCAGTTCAGAGTGGTGCTCAATGCTTGGGTGTTGTTTATCTCCTCACCTCTCACTTTCCCACTGGGACTGAGCTGAGTTCAAGCAGTGCTCCTCTCACAGCCCCAGAGCGGCTTCTGGTGACGGCTCTCCTTTACACCACCCCTCCTCTGAACGGCGCTTGTTGTCCCCTCCCTGAGCTTGCTTGTTGTCCCAACCTAACTCTGACTTCATTCTCGCCATCCTGTTGAAGTGGATTCCTTATTTTCAGGTGGAAATGTCTGCCTGCACCAGCAGGAACAAGGACAAGATCCCCACGTACGACCTTGCCTGTGTCTGGTATCCTTAAGCAAGTACTCCTTTACTGGGAGACCCAGAGCTCTGCTGTCTGTCACTCTGGGAGTACCTGCTCCCATTCTCAAATGTCCCCTCCCCAGATTGCTGGAGTGCACAACCCTCTGTGGCATCTCCCCCGCTGAGGCCTGTACAACGCAGCGACCACCTCAGTGGAAAGCAGGTGTACCCCAGTGCTGACATGTTCTTTGTCTTAGGAGGGAATATGTACAGCATTTCCTTTTAAGGATGAGGACGCGTGTGACCTGCTTTCCTGTTTAGGATCCACAGAAGTGCCTCTCTTGCCCTACATGCTGGCAGTAGGAATATTCTGTTTCTGACTGCCCAGCTGTGCTCAGAGGTCGTACTTCCTCATACTCTTGGGACCCCCTGAACGCATTAGGTCATTGTCTCCCACGTTGGTATCTAGGATGGAGAAAGAAGCAGCAGCTGTGAAACCTCAAGAGCTTACTGCAGCACAGAGATCACTGTGCCAAAGGTGGAAGCTTACTGAATCAATGTCAATATAACAGCTCTGTCTCTGCGCCTGCGCCCTGTGGCTGGGATCTGGTCGTCAGCGAGCCTCCCGGCTGCTCATCCTCCATCTTGCCCCTTTCTCTCCCCCTGCTGCTGTTCCTTCCTGCCCATGACTGGTCACCTCACTTAACTGTGTACAATTTGGGAAACAGCTAAGGTGGATAGGTTATACATCGAGTGCTCCTTCCAGCTCTGGAGTGAGTCCCAGGACAGAGATTGCCTGACTGCCCCCTCCTGCTGTTGAGGAGAAAGAGAAAGGAAAAAAAAAAAAAACTAGACTCTGCAGGAATGCCCCAGTACAAGGCTGGCCCCTTTTTCCACCCCCTGTCACCTCCCCCAGCAGCTGGAAACAACCTCTCCCTTTGTCTCAGCTTCTTGTACAGAATAATCCGCCTTACGGACAATGTATTCTCTGTGTCCTGTGGACACAGGAGCCGTGTGAGCTGATCCCAGCACCAGGCAGGACGGAGGCTGAAACCTTCCCAACGCCCACCCTTGGTCAGCTCCTGCCCGCTGGTCAGAGGAATTACCAAGATCGTGCCCTGCCTCTAGGGGGCTTGCCCTTGAAGTACTGAGCCAGGGGTAGGACCAGGGGCTGTGGTACTTTTTCTGTGTGGTGTTCTATTCAGTGCCAACCTGTGCAGGATTGATGGTGGCAGTTGCATGAGACTGTCACAGGTTGGAAAGGCTCTGTTGCCCTGAACATGGGGCTTTCCAAGCAAACTCTAACCCCTATGTCAGGACTTTGGACCTCCAGCCGTACAGTGTGTGTTGTCCCACAGAACAAACTTGCTCCCATCTGCCCTAAGCGCCTGTCTCTAGTTCGTGAGTTCCCTCCCATGTGTCATGGGGGGCAGACCCAGTGTGGTTACTCAGTGAATCCCGTGCTGTCAGGATGTTGGCCATCGTTTGGGCAGGGCGGCTTCGCCAGCACATCCTGGACAGGAAATGTGACTCCTCTGGCCCTTGGGTTCTCACTTGGTTAATCCCTGCTCTCAAGTCACTGACTACCTTTCTTTCTCTCTCTCTTTTTTTATCTTTTCTTTTTTTTAATGGTTTATTTATTTTTATTGCAAAGTCAGATCTACAGAGAGGAGAGACAGAACTTCCATCCACTGGGTCACTTCCCAAGTGGTTGCAATGGCTGGAGCTGAACCAATTCAAAGTCAGATGCCAGGAGCTTCTTTCGGGTCTCCCATTTGGGTGCAGGGTCCAAAGGCTTTGGGCCATCTACTGCTTTCCCAAATCACAAGCAGGGAGCTGGATGGGAAGTGGAGCAGCCAGGATATGAACAGGTGCCCATATGGGATCCTGGTGCATGCAAGGCAAGGAATAGCAACTAGGCTACCACACTGGGCCCCTCCTTTTTTTTTTAAGATATATTTATTTCTATTGGAAAGGCAGATTTACAGAGAGGAGAGACAGAAAGATTTTTGTCTGCTGATTCATTCCCCAAGTGTCCATAACGGCCAGAACTGAGCTGATCCAAAGTCAGGAGCCTCTTCTGAGTTTTTAACACAGGTGCAGGGTCCCAAGGCTTTGGGCTAACTAACCTCCACTGCCTTCCCAGGCCATAAGCAAGAAGCTGGATGGGAAGCGGGACCACCAGGATTAGAACCGCTGCCCATATAGGATCCCGGCATATGCAAGGCAAGGACCTCAGGTACTAGGCTACCACGCTGGGCCCCTGACCATGTTTCTTAGTGCACTTTTCCTCAGGGCTTTTGTTTATTTTATAATAATGCAAATATGGGAAACAAAACTAGATATCCCAAGTTTTTTTCTAAGTCAGTTTCCAAATCCATCAAACCTCTGTAAATTGTTTCTTAATTTCACCCTATGTCATCTACAATTTAACATCTCTAAAGCTTGCAACCCTGGACTACAACCCTAAATCTTTTCTTTGATTTCACTCTAGCAAAAACTCATCAAAGAGAGAGATACCCAGATACCACAGAGACGCATGTCAGAAGTCACCTTCCCACTCGGGATTATATGTTCCAGAGAAACTTCTGCAGTATAGGCATTTTGCACATGACAAGAACCCTCTTTGCTGAATCAAAAACTCTCCTAGCCACTGCCCTTGCTACTTGCTCTGCCATTCCCTTGCCTTTTGCTGTCATCGTATCTCTGGTTTGTGGTCATTTCGATTTTTCACTACTCCTTGCCCAATCTGACCTGTAGACCATCCTTTGTTCTTTTTAGTGATTATACTGGATTCCACCCATTTTCATGACTGTGGTTAGTTTTTGAGGGCTCCTTTCCTGGGTTAAACTATTGCTGCTTGGGATGCCCTGATTCCTTGCTGGAGTGCCCAGCGTTGAGTCCTGCCCTGCCTCTGCTCTGGATCCAGCTTCCTGCTGATGCACCTGGAGCAGCAGGCGATGGCTCAGTGTCTGCCATTACTGTGGGAGACCCAGGTGGAAGCTCCTGGCTCCTGGCTTAGCTTGGGCTCAGCCCTGGCTGTTGCAAGGAATAAAGCAACAGATGGAAGACTCTAACTCTGTCTCTCACTCCGCCTTTCAAACACATTTGAAAAATGAATAAGCCTTTTTTTAAGAATTAGCTGTTAAAAAATATTCTTCAAAATTTTTAACATTGATACGTGTATTTTTTATTTGAAAAGCAGAATCTGAAAGACAGATCCACAGACAGAAATCTTACATCTGTTGATTTACTCACCAAAGGCCAACAATAGCCTTTGCCAGACCAGGTGGAACCCAGGAACTAGAAATTCGGTCCAGGTGTCTCCCAGGGGTGTCAGGGACCCAGGTACTTGGGTGGTCACCTGCCACTTCGCAGGGAACATTGGATTGGAAATGGAACTGGGACTGGATCCCAGGAACTCCAGTATGGAATGTGAATGACCCACATAGCGTCCCGTCTGCTGCACTGAATGCCTGCCCTTCCATCAAAGTCTTTGATGCTCTGCCCCCGCTCACTGATTCGTGGCTGTGTTAGGAGCCTTCTGCTGCTGCTCCTTCCCCTTCAGCCCCTGTGGGTGGGCTTTTACTCCCTCCACTTGTCAAAGCATGGCA